TGTTGGCGTCATATTCCAATCATCTGTCTTAATTACAGCGTGCATATAGATTGAAAATGTGTATGAACATGCATTAGTAATTATTTGTTCTTCAGCTTAATTTTCAATTCGTAATTATATTCTCCCTTTATATTGTCATCATTATCTTAATTAGTAACGCTACTTGAGTCTTAAAAGGATTGGAGCCAGTTTAAAGTGCCATAATTAATTTATAAAAATTCTCTATCGAAAAAGATTACGGTGAGGAAAAACTATCCTAGCAAATATTACTTGCATTATACTGCACTTGTAAATAAGCCTTACTGCCTCACTCCTCAGAGTGACAAGCTATCTATTCCCGTATATGTATCATCTTAAATAATTAGGTAATGAGAAATAAAACTTTATTTCGATGCAATATTAGCGTTAACATGATACACCATTGGCCAGGGTGCTAACGATCGGTAGACTAGTTTTCAAAAAACCTACTCGTATACTGCCTCCATGACAACGCGTGAACAACCAACTTGTTGTTTATTAGCAAGGACATTTGGAACATGTTAGTGATTGATAAATTAATTTGAATCTCTATAATGATCAGCAAGTGAATCAACAATAGGTTGGTTAACAGAGTCATGATAAGAAAACAACAACAATTAGCAAGCTATCGTAGGGTACTAGGCGACGCTTAATACGTTGCACTGTTATTGCCACTGAATGTCGATTAATATTGCGGTCATTTTTTTTTTTTATTACCTTATGCATATTAATGAAGTGTTGAAATTGAGTAAATAGATAAACAACCAATAGCGTGGCAAACATGAGAGATATTGTTGTTATTATTGATTCAACTCGGTAAATTAGGCAAACTTTTTCATTTGTCAACAGAGTTGAAAGATATTAAATTGATCATTTTTTTCAGTATAGGCACGTCGAATGATGACTTTAAAATGAATCATAGCATTTAATAATTTCGTTATGGCGGTACTTTTAGAAGCGTTTACTACTACCTTCTACAAGCTGTTTCTTGGGATATTTTATAATATTACTGTGGTAGAAAAGACATTTCCTAAATACTTTAAATAGTAATGGCAGCAGTCTCTTAATATAAGCCACGCGAACAGGTTGATTAAAACAATGAAACCCTGTTGACTATCAATCTGAATATCAATACATAGCTATAGAAGTGCAGCCCCGTTTTATTTGATCGATTACAAGCTTTTTGAAATAAATCCTAAATATCATCAGTCAACTACTTAAAATTAATTTCGTTTAGTCAAAGCAGTAAATAACCCCTGCTATGGTGGAAATAAAATTGTAATCTATCCCCAATTAGGACAACATCTGCTTTTCCATTTCATATCGACCATTTTAGACTTGCTTAGGATAACTTTATATCCAATCTTGATGGCTAATTTACCCAAATTTTCACAAAAACTTGACGCGGCATCAACGATTATTTGTAACCATGACACGATCCACGCGAGTAATACAATAGTTTACAGGACAAAAAGCTTTTTGTTATGCAGATAAGGCCTGGATGATCGACATGACGTGTTGGAAGGATAAATCAAATGATGTCGGCAGATACTAGGTAATATATTGGTTTAGTTTTTCAAAATGTTGAAAATAATTTATATAAATTGTGTAAGGCTATGATATTAAATGGTTGCCCCTTTACTTACTGTAAGGATAATCTCATGCTTGCAAGGATTGTCATGGTGCTGGAAAAATCGACTGATATAGAAAGCGAAATAGCAACATGTTGCATGTATTAACATCTTCCAAAAAATGGTTTATTTCAATTTAGAAACAAGGGTAGAATGTACTTATCTTGGTCATTGTTTGTAAACTTGAAATAAAATTCAATCATTCCTTATTCAAATTTTTTAGAATATGGACATATTTTAAATGTTGCAGAAGGGTAAAAATTGGAGTTAAGTTTTGTCCACTTTAGTATTTGTGAGCGTATAAGAGAATAATAGCATAATATATGAGACTTTTTCCGACTTTTTAGGGTACGATATCAACCATGAAAGTAGTATCGATAACAATTGCTGACTGCTATAAATTGATGATTAGTGTAGCAATGTTTTTACGCTACATCAATACGTTCCTGGATGCTATACCAATTTTTATTAAATTAATACTCTATATCTGTTTATAGATTACTTTCAGGTAGTAGTATGAGAAATAGAGAAGGCTAGTCATTCAGTAATTAAAGCCTAAAAAATTTTTTCTCTTTCATTATTTCGTAATGTTTAGTTAAAGAGACAAATTAATTATCTATCTAGTTGGAACGAATGGAATCTCCTGTTATTGAAATTAGAATTTTAAAATCTTCGGCAGCCAATTAGATTTAAAATAATAGGAAATGATGATGATGATTGTTGGGATGTCATTGTCCATTAAAACTCCTAAAGGTTACTGCAACCTTGAAAGTTCTCGGATAAAGGCATTCAAGAATGGGTTGAACTTCATGGCAGGGCATCAAGTTCGCCATAATCATAAAGTAATATCAGTAGCTTTGGCTCAAATCCAAAACAACCAACGCATAATCTTAATTGTCGAACGGGATAAAAAAGAAACAAATATCATTGCTAAGGCTAATATTTAACTTACTATTAGAACTATATTGTTGACATGATGAATAGTGGCTTTAAATAGCCTCGTAGTCTCGTTTCTTTATGCAAAAATAGCATACCATAGTCATTACTAGTCAGTTATTTGCCGTAATATAATTTTGTGATCATTTTCCTCAATGGTATCGAGGTAAATTACAGTTATATACTAGAGTAAATTTACTGTTACCAAATAGTAGTTAGCACCCGCTCCTTTAATATAATCTCTTTATCGATTGAATAGAATATTTTACATGGCAAATAGCCATGAGATGAAATGAATACATTCAACTAAATACACTACATGAACTTGTCTTGTTGTTTAAAAAATATCACCAGAACTTATTAATGCTTTTATTTACAATTTTTTTCTATCTATTTTATAAGAAAGCGTTATAAAGCCGGCTTTAGATTCTTACAATCACTCGACACCTTTTTCCTAATACGTATAGCTAAAATACTTTTTGAAATCGCAACGAAAACCATAGATGTAGGATTTCGATAGGCAAAATTGAAAAACTAGTCATTAATAAGGCAATGGAATACATAAAAAATTTGAATGATCACTTAGATTACATCCAGTCTTTTAAAGTACCGTATGAGAGCAATACTATATGAGAGATACCGATGTCCTAGCAGAACATAATTAGTCAATTATTAATACTCAATGCACTACAAATGTAGAACAATATGATTGATGTGCTAGGATGTACATTCTTGTAGAATTTCATCATCGGGCATCTTTTGTTTTTCAAGTGTATTTGGCCGACTAACTTTACTATAAAATTAATATTGTTTATCGCCAGTTTAAAACTATTGTTTCAATATTATTTGATCGTTGTTCCCTTCATATAATTTATCACAGCGGTTTAATAAACTAATATAGATGGTCATACATGCTGTCACAGTTAATTTAACCTCTAAGGCTGTTTTTCATTATTATACTCTATTATTAATAAACACATTCTGAGCCTATTCTGGCCAATATATTCATCATGTCGCACCGATCGTGTGCTCGTATATCTACATCGAAAATTGAACTTAGCGCCATAGTGTGCTATTCATCTTTCAGCTGGAATTTAATTTTTGATACCACTTTTTCACAACATTATTTAAATGGATTGACGATGAAAATTTTTTCTTTAATCACTACGTTCATTGGTCAATTGCGAATGATTCCCAATTGAAAAATGCCTATCTTCCATAAATTATGCACTTGTTCACTTGACATGATTGGATATAACGTGATATTTTAAAAATTTGTATAATTATCTTTCTTTTATTTACTCGTTTGTGATCAACTTTTTCAATACTCTAATATGAGATCCAATCATCGTAGTGACAGGCAATGATACAATAAAGTATAATTGTTATTACGACAGTATAGAACTGTTTATAGTTCAATCAATGATAACATTTTTTTCCCTTCATCTATAATTGCATGTATACTACATTACAGTGCAGAACACGCATTCCTTAAATTGGTAGCATCCATTTTTGTATTCTATATCTCACTGTAGTCAATATCATATAATATAATCATAGACGCAATCAATATTGTTCTTATTATTCTCACCTATCATCCATCAAATTCTTCGACATTATCAGTAATTACCTTCATTTTCCTTTTGTAAATCATTTTGTGTTGTAATTTTTTTACTACGATGGAGTATTTTTCTTAATTCTATAGTAATGGTAATAGCAATGGCTTGCCTTGCCTATTTGTTTTTCATTTGACTATACTTGCTATTTAACATAACAATAAGTTATTTTATACGGTACTATAGCAAAACAGTAGTAACCTTCCCGTAAATACTGGATGGACAAATAAAAACTGACAGCATTTCAAATAGGAAATGATTGTTATGTAAATAAAATTATAGCGTCCCTCATTGGACGTTGGCGACTACCGCGTTGACAGGCATCAAATTTGACTTTATTGTTACTGTCATCTTTTAGAGCAAAAAAAATGAGAAACGCTTTCTATGCATAGATACAATTATGCTCATTATAAATTTATTCAGCGGTTGCCTTTTAAATACCGTTAAGCCACTCAGATTCGACCAGTATCCACAACGTCACCTAGGCACCGACCAACCAAGGATCAACGCGCCATCCTTCCTCCAATTACCTTGAAGGAATCAAATTTTCTAATCATCACAAATTTCAAATCCACCAATAATGGGCAAGCATATCTGGAATCCAAATCGCAATCAACATAAAAGTAAAAATAACTATTACCAGCAACATCATGAACAATCTCTGCAGCAACATAATAACCTGCGAGATTCTACTTCTCCATTGGACAACAATTTAATTGATTCCGATCAAGAACTTTTATTAACTCATTGTCCACTAGAACGACGCGCTAGTCGAAAATCACCTCAACAGCACGTTGATCAACGCTTAGCCGCTAATCTACGCGAACGAAAACGTATGCAAAGTATTAATCATGCATTCGAAGATTTACGCCACTTGGTGCCTAAGTTACCATATGAAAAACGATTATCCAAAGTCAATACTTTGAGATTGGCGATATCTTACATTGGTTTCATGTCGGAATTGTTGGACACAAATGATCCAACTAAATCCATATGTCGGCAAAATTCTGCCACTGACAGATCCAATAAAGTCATATTGCACAACAATTCTTATGGTAAGTGGTTGATAATAGTCAACTTCCTCTATCTGTTGCACCAATGTTGCAAATATTGTATATTTGCAGATTATCATACCATTATCTCTTCTCTTTTATTTTCATTAAAAATGCTGTTAAGCAGGCCTTTAAACAGAAATACGCTACAGCACTAAGAATAAAATATGCTAACTGATCATTAAGTCTTTCCGTACCACATCTTACAAAGATGTCACTACGACTAGCTACGGTTACTTTATGTGTTATGCCGTATAGTAGAGTAGATGTCGTATATGATATATACGGTAGTACTACTCTCGAAACTCTTAGCGTTGTGTCAAAAACCGGAGACTCTAACTGCTAGTACAAGTCTGCAATTTTAGCCAATGGTATAATCATAACCAAACTGCTTCTATCAGATGCGGCAGACCCATGTACAGTATGATTTCCAGTTGTGATCGAGTCCATCTATAATTCATATGGATTGAAGTAAATCTCGTATTTACTTAAGCGATAGGTTTCAAAGTTGTACCTATAAAATTTTTCAAAAGATTTTAATTAGGTCAATTCGTTTCACTTACGATTTCATAACTAAACAAGTCAGCTATCAACCTGTTCAAAAATAGTATCCGTAATTATCGATACTGTTATGATTCATTTATTGGACAAAATTCAACGTTTTTGCCAATTGGCAATAAATTGCACCACTAAAAGATACAGTATGATAGCGGATCAACTTCTACAACATCTATTTAGAAAAAAAATTTTGTTGTTATTGTATGCATACAGTATATTTACTGTATATATATATTATATATATATTATATACATTCTATACTATTCTATATAGTTCGAAGGACGGCACCGCGCGATACGTGCCATGCATAAAATTTACTACAATGTTTTGACTAGATTGAATCAAAAGCGAAAATTTTTCATAGTAAAGACAGAGCGAATATTGTTTAGACTGAATGCTAATTAATATCTTTCAAATTAAGAATAAAGATTTTCACATTAAAAAATTTATTATTTTGCTACTGCAATAATATTTCGACCGATTTAAAATTGCTTGACCATTGTATGATTTTAAGCGGTCATCGCGTTCCTTTGATAGTGATCCATGAGATCATATTGTATAATTTAGGTATCTTTCTTATTTGAGATCTTTTTATTTTTTCTCAAATCAAAGCTTTCAATCTATTCATTCACATTTTTATTGAATTATCACTAATTTCCGTCAAAATTTTTAAACAATAATATCTTTACCACACCGATGAGAATATTTATTTTATTAAGAAAATCATGCCACTTCACTCCCTGATATCGTATGATCGAATTGGTTTGTTCAAGGGATTAGTAATTTCACATCAACGAATTATCGTTCTAATGATAACGCTATACTTCCTAAAACATTTGTAGTCTTACTGTTACACAAAGAATAGCACGAGAACAAGTAGAAACTGATTTAATAGCAGTCACTTCGTCATATTGTCCATTAATAGATTTACAAGTAAAATTGTACCTACACGAAGAAAAGTCTTATTGATCGACTTCTCTTCATTGGCGTTTACGTCATAATATAGCATTAAGATTCTCAAAAAATTTCGTTTCATTTTTATTGATTCTATCGTCTTTGAACTTGAGGCTTTGAAATTACACACTCATTATTATTATTATTAACTTAAAAACTACCATACTATTTCTTCTGTCCTTACCGTCAATATAGATAAACAAATCGACTGTTGCAGTTCATTATTACGGATACTTGAGTCGTACTCTATTTGCAACTAGACTAATCTTAAATGAAAAGCTAACTTATATTATTATTCTTAAACTAAGAATATCTTGATTTGAGGCTTTTCTATCAAATTATATCGATATTATTTCATTTTTAAAATTAAAAATGATTTACATGAAATAGTATTTTAATTGTTTGCACTGATTCGTGTGCGCTTATGGACAGCATTCTCATCGCTGCTATTGTCTCATTTCTATTCATGTAGAAAATGATTTCGATGAATTCGGTTTAACTCCATTAGTTGGTCATTCATTGTCATGGTGTACAGAAAAATCTTGCATAGAACCGGCCGATGAAATAACTAATGCTATGACTAGAAGCGCCAAGGTCTGGATACCGGAGGATCCACGATCATCGTAATTGTCAATAACTTGAATATGTCTATTCGAAATTTCAAAGATGATATCGAAAATTTAAGAATGGACAGAAGTTATTTTCACCGGCACATTTGAATATATGCAGCCAATTTTTCTAGTTCAACGGAGGCAACTAAAATCTACAAGCATAAGCAGCCATGCTTCCTTTTTTAAATATATCGGACAAGTATTGTCATGCTGACTGTGATCGATGCAATAGTTAAACATGGTCTTTTGATCAAAAATGGCATATCTTAAGTATAATTCGATTTTATGTGTGCAATACGCCATCAAATAACTGATTTAATACGATTATACTACAATTTATTAACTGATGGTAGCTTTAGATTGTCAAAATAATTTAGTCTTAGTTGATCACTAACTTTAACTCCACTATATTATTTTCACGCTATTTCATTTTTTGTCTATTTTATTTACCCAGAATTGTAAAGGTATAAATTTCCAATTTAAAAAACAGTACGGTAGCTCTAGTCATTGCTATCGATGTTGTAAACATACAGCAATTGCTATATTACGACACATACGGTTACAATCCGATGTCATCTAATCTACGATCTTATGCATACCTGCTACACCACTATGTCTATCAGATTTCCATTTATTTGTGGAATGGCATCATAGTAGTTGTTGCTATCATTAGTATCTTTGATCGAGAATCATCATCTTATTGTATTGAAGTCCCTTTCTAACTTTATCGCTACCCTGATTCTAATATTTTACCTTGTTAGATATACATCTTAAAGGTGTTTCTGTCCTCTTCGATAGCCATGATTTCATCAACTAATTAAAAAAGATCTATCTGAAGCGGTTTTCTGTCATTATAAAATTAATAATGTAAATTTTTGTATTACCTCTACCAATTACATTGTAATAGCATAAAGTAAAATCATCTGCACACAATGCAAATAGAAATTAAGTTGTCTTTGATCGATCCTAAGCATTTTATATTTCATCGGATGAAAGAATCGCGCCTTTACTCTTAAATCTTACATAGCGAATTATTTTTATCGCAATACCGTTTCGTGAACTTCTGCGATCAATTCTGTAATTATTAATGTGTTGTACTAAAATTCCTTAGCTATGACACATTGTAAAAAGAATGCTTATTTCAACAATATCAGTTCTATCCGCTGTCGATAATAGTGTAAAAAAAGTTAAAATGAAATATAAACTGCCTGTATTTTGTGGTTAAGAAAGAAATAAATCTACGAAATTTAATCTCAATCAAATACGTTACTGATCTTTAACTATGAATCAAATGGAAAAAAGTGATTTAATCTGTTACTTGGATCACTTTGCACTACAGATTAGTGCGGATCTCAAATGTTTACCTTTCTTTGGAAGAAATATTACAAAGCTTTTAATGTTATCCGTGTATTAGTGATTGCTGCCACTACAATTAAGATTTACCTGGTGATCTATATTTTATTGCATAATTACAATGCTACAGAAAGTTCTATGCAAGTATACTGCGTTGTATCACTTTGTTCTATTATTTTAATTTGATGAGGAAAAAATTTCACTTGTGTAGCGTCCACTACGGCAGCCGAATACTGCAATATATAGAACTAGTCATAGTCTTCTTTTTTGCATGGAAAAGCTTTATACTGAATTAATTTCACCTACGATCTGTCGTCAGTATGAGTTAAATTCTTTTTCTTTACTAAATAAACGGAAAGCACCTTTGCAGTTAACATTGCAAAAAAAGCAATTAATTATTCTGATTGATTTTTTTTTAATATTAATGAGAAATACGACAAAGGTTCCTATTTAGCATATCGCAAAGCTTAGTATGAGTCATAAACCGATTGCTGTACATAAATTTATACTGTTTAAACAAATGATTGTCTATACAACATTGATGGTAGTATGCTATGGTCGCAGACAGTATTTGAACCCATTTTTATCTAATTTTTATAGCTATATTTAATCGTTAATATATCAACTTTGGACACCATCGTTGTCACATTATAGGCAAGCAGTAGTTAATTATAATTGCAGTTATTTATTATCTTAATAAAAACTTGCAGATAGTTTATAATGCACATAATTCGTTCAAGTTCTAAGACAAATTTCTTCTTTATTTGATCACAGCTTTTTTAATGACTTTCGCGTGCCGCATTGAAAAGTTTTAATTACGGCTTCTCCTCATCGTTAAATAATAATTGCTATTGCTACATGTTGATAGCATTAAATCCCGACAGGTAGACACCATAATAATAATGCCATTGAATTGAATTCGTCATCTTCATTGGCTATCAATCAGAATTCATTGTGAAAATTAGTACAATAACGAGTATAGACTGCGAAGAATAATAACAGTTCCAATGTAGCTTCTAAATTTTATAGCCTATCGTCCTAATTTGGTCAACGAAATGCAAAGGCTCTTTTGATTTAATCTTATACAGCCTCTATCCAATCAAAAAGTAACTGACATACTGTCTATATATCTACAGCACGGCACTACAATCTTAAGTCAAAGAGTACATACCATATGCAATGCTTATATGTAGATAAAGCTTGAGAAGTAGTCCTTTTCATTGTGATGAATAAGATATATGATATATTAGACCGTCTACTAGTCTAAAAATGCTAAAAACAATTAATAAATGGCCGTTAAATTGCTGTTTGATGATCATTTAATAAATATTCAATAGGGCACTGATGTAATTAATTTCCAGCTCAATAAGAATTGATCATATAAAGCTAAAATAGAGAGCAAAAATATATCGTCGAAAGGATAATCATGTTATTATCT